TCTACCTAATATAGAAGAACTACTTTGATCCATGTGTTCTGACATCTGACTGTCAGATCCAGCATTATTTTTGCATCATTTTAGCCACAGCAGTCATTCCTTTATGATCCTATGTGACTAAAGTTAAGCCTAGATGTGATTTCCCTGCAGCTTCTGATCCCACTGCATCATGCTTCATCTGTCACTAACCATTACAATATAACCCTGTCAGTATGCATTCACTGGCAACACTTCCCTTACTGCTATAGAAATCTCTAAAGGAAACTGGCCTGCTTTATTTTCCAAAGCTATGCTCCTTTACTTGTTCATTTTTTTATTGTATTTTATTGTTACAGAACACATCAGCTCTTGGAGTCTGTGAGGAGGTACTCCGTGTGGGCCTTGATCCCCCGGCTATTAAGAACAGATGTCCCGCACAAACAAAACAGAAACTAACAAAGGAACAAAGGAAACAACACCTGAAACCTTCCAGATTACCAGAGGGAGGAGAAACCCCGTTAAATCAGGTAGAAGGAGAGGAGAGGAGGCCATTAATGTCCCAACATGTTGCTCATGTAGAAATTACTAGAGTGCAAAACAGTGATGCGAGTCCTGGACCGAAGCTGAATCAAATGAAATCTTTTTCCAAGCAGAGCTCAGCTTGCTCTTTAAGGGCGAGGAGAAAACATTGTAACATCAGAGCCGCTGGCCGGAGTTTTCCCAGAGGCAGTCCTGTCCTCACCGTGTCCAGCTCTCCTTCTCAGGGTTCGCTCATTTCTGAAACAGCAGCAGAGGAACTCTGTGATCTCAGGAAATACTACAGCAATCAGCTTAAAAGAATTAACTACATTTCCCATGAGCACCTAGGGCCGCCTCCTGACCCAGGGGTCCTTACATGCATCATGGAGCCTCTGAGGAGTCTGCGTCTGTCACAGAGGGGGACCTTCGCCCAGACGGCCCGCAGTTTGTGGACACGTGTCAGTGGCAGGAGAAAACGGGTCCATCACTGATGTTTTCTGGTTCCACTTCATTGGTACTTTGTGTTTACTAAGATAAAAACGCTCCATGGTCGGTTCTACAGTAGATTTTTCCCAAGAAGCAGACTTATGAAAATCATTTTAGTTTATTGGTTAAGATGCTTTTCCTCCACATCAGAGAAGATTTTAGAATGTTTCACTTTGTGCTTCTTCATCATGTTGACCACATCCTGATCCGTTCCCCTGGAAAGAAGCTGGTGTTATGACTGCGCCGAACAGTCTAAATCAACAGTCTAAATATTTTTTTTTGTTTCATTTGTTCCAGTTTGAGGTCTTTCTTTGTGTTCATCATCATCATCTAGTCATGTTTCATGTTTTTTTTCATCGATGCAATAAAGGATGAAAGGTAACTGTCTTCTATTTACTTCTTTAGATAGTTGAACATTTTTTATAGATATAAAATTGAGTTTAAGGGATAAATTAACATTGATTCCATATTTTCCTTCCTTCCACTGAAGAGGAAATATACGGAAGCTTATTGCATTCACCAAAGAAAAAAAATCTGACAGCTTATCTCATAATTACGAGATTGGTATCTCAATATTATGAGATCTCATAATTACAAGAAAACCTTTCATATTTAGGAGATCATTAATTGCTGAGCTACGCTACATGAACTGTGATCAATGAGTTGTTTGTCAGATTTAATATGCTTTTATTTCCTTTCAGGTAGGCATCACTGGGAAATGCTGAGTTTCCTCAATGTGGTTGAAATTACTTTTAGTTTGTCGGCATTGCACAGTAAGTCCTTAGGATTGTTTAGCGAAAAAAGTCCACTCTGACTTGCTGGAAGACGCACTGTTCCTGCAGGACCAATTAAACCAGCTCTGGATGCTTTATGCTTATAAGTTAATGCATCTGAAATGCATTCCAGCTGGCTTGGTGGTGTCCCATAGAACTGTCCATTAGTACCTTCTCAAAATCCTAGATCCTCAAGGAGTACAGCTGAGATGTCAGAATCATTTAAAGTGACATCTCTGCAGAAACCCAGGTCCCAACTTCATGCAGTATGCTGTTTCATATGACAAACTGAAACCAAACCAAATCTGTATTAATGGAGCTATTGATTTTTGTGTATGGTCAAATGACTGCGTGCTTACTCCACAAGTAGTAATCCCAGGATTATAGCTGGGTACTTCACTGATGAAGAGAAAAATGCGAGCGGAGCTCCAACGCGCATCAGGTCAGACCTGGGTACAGAGAACTGTTCAGTGGAACAGATGCAGATATTCATAACTCATCATGAAGACCAGTTTTCTGAGAAATGCTTCATGACTGGCTCAATTAATCATAACCAAATATATATAAATAAGAGCTGATAATTATGAGATCTTTTCTCATAATTTCGAGATCAGATCTCGTAATTATGAGCTCAGCTGTCTGATTTTTTTTCTTTGGTGAATGCAATGTGCTTCTGTAGAAATATACTTTAGTTACAACAAACTTCTCAACTGTTTGTATTTCTATATTCTATACATCTTTATACAGTTGTTATGATTTTATGTTCAATTCTATTTCCTGGTTGGAACCTTTATTCCACTCTGGATTCTTGTTAATGTAGTCTTTCTTCACTTTACAATAAAAAATAAATAAATAAACAAACAGTTTTGAAAACTTCGGTTTTCATTTATTTCCTGCTTAGTGTGTCAACTTTCACAGTTGCTAAGCAACAGAGTTTACAGCGGTAAACCCGCCGAAGGGTAGACCTGTTATCACAGCCAAAACACTTCCGGGCTCCTATTTTCAGGTTTTGGAACAGAGCCACTGCCTAGTTACATGTGTTCTTTCTGGCCAGTACAGCATGTAAGTTGATGTGAAGGGTGTATTTCGTTTATGTACATATAGTGCTATGTTTATGTTGTGTTTGGAGGTTTATTACAAGAAAGGTCACGAGAAGAGAAGTTTAAAAAGACGTTAGCATACGCGCTAACTAGCCGTTAGCTATGCCGCTAGCTAGCGGCTAATGTAAACATGTTGCTTGTGTCATTATGTGTTTCTGTACATATTCAGGGAATAGGTTGAGTTTATTATTTAGGAGAATTGTGCCTTTTTATTTGGAATTGTTTCTGTTTACACAAAGACCTATGCACATTATTTCTTTGTTGCAGTTTTACCATTCATTCATCCATCCATACCAGCTAAAGAAAAGGCTTAGGTTAATGGAAATGATGGTTATCTACCTGCTAAGCTAAGAGTGAGGGCAGGACAAAAATTATTGTTTTGGCGCTAATGGTCACTAAAATGATTTTAAGCTCAACATGTGCAGTATTAAAATTCAAAACCTTTATTCACAAATATGCTCTGTTTTTTGGAAGTGGAGCCAGCCAATCCTGTTCGTGTATGCAAATTAGCCATGTGCTTTTCCGCAGTTAATAACGCGGAACAGATTGCATGAAGACAGCATGTCTTCACTCCTGTTTGTGGACCTCAACGGACCTCCTCTGGACAAATTCGACCCTTTTACATTCGTCAGAACCTGGATTAAAGTAGGACATGTGCGTGCATGAAAGAGAGAGAGACACACAGATAGTCTTTGTGCATGTGTGTGTTTTCATAGACTGACTGTCTATTCAGGCTCTTGCCTGCTCCACCAGACTCACAGAAAGCTTCATCCACCAAGCTGTCAGGAAGCTGGGCCCCCCTCAAAAAAAAAATCACTCTGGACAAACTCTCCTGCACTACTATTTATTGTACATTTTATATTTTATTGTGAAATTGAATGTTTAAATTCTAGTATTAGGAACTGATCTTATCTGTTGTGCCTGTGCATTTTATCTGTTTCACTGTTGGTGAATGAGAAACGAACGTCCTCTCCAGTCCTTGTATGTCTGGTGAATCTGAAGAATTGACATTAAAGCTGACTTTGACTTTGAAATGTTATAGGCCGACTGCATACTGAGAAAATTTAGATCGGTATTGCGCAACAATTAACACTCATCTTCCTCCCCGTCAAATGCTGCATGTGCACATTATTCCACCTGGAGAAAAAAAAAAGCTTTTCATCATAAAACAGTCAAAGCGTTCATCTTAGAAAGTCTGATGTTCATAACTAGGATATAAAGTAAATTACAAATTGCAGTTTTAATAATATGATACCATACCACAAAATTATAACTACAGGATATAAATTCACAATTTCATAATAAATTATTCTAAACTATTACATGTGAAATTTTGAGTCATAAGGTTTTATTATTATTATACCTTTATTTTTACAGGCAAGTCATTAGGAAAAAGTTCTTATTTACAAAGGCAGCCTGACAAGTGAAGTAACAACTTAGAAAAAGGGAAGTAGGGCTAAAATAAATACAATACATTAGTAATACATACTTAAAATACAATTTAAAACACAACAGACAACCCAAAAATTAGTGTCTGTGAACAAGGATAATATAATATTTTTATAAGATAAAATTGAAATGAGTCTATCCAGTTTAAGAATATTTTGCAGAGAGCTCCAGTGAAGAGTGGCAGCAGATTGAAAAGAAGCAAGAGCAAAAGCAGTTTTGGTTTTGGGTATAAGTTAT